CTGTGCCCGTTGTGAAAATCTTCCCGCTCGTGCTTCTGGGGGTCGGTACTGCACCATGCATCCGAAAACTCGTAACATTCTTGTGCTGCCCTGCTTTCCTTTCCACAGCAGATGCGGTGATGCGTTGTTCGGGAGTGACGACGACGACAGCAAGTTGTGCAGCATGACAGCATGGTCCATTGCTGCAGGCCACTGGTGGTTGTGTAGCCGCATGCCACGTAGCAGTTTGCGCATGCTGTTCTGCAGAGTCCTATTCATTCTTTCTGCAACACCTTGCTGCTGATGGGCGTAGGGAAGGGAGAGGAGTTGCTTGATTCCCCTTTCCGCCAGGTACTGCTTGAAGCGCTGAGAGGTGTATTCTCCTCCTCCGTCTAACTGGAAGCTTTTCAGCTGTGTTCATGACTCCCTCTCTGCTACCGGTAGCCAAACGGCGAACGCTGCGAGTGCCATGTCGCGGCTGGGTAGGTTTCGATGCCAGACGTATCGAGTGGCGGCGTCGATGAAGGTTATCGTGTAATTGTAGGTGACTTGTCCTGGTTCTCGATTGAAGAGGATGTCGCTGTATACTTTCTCGAGTGGTGCGTATGCAGGTGCGCTCGGGTTGTGGTGAGAAGAAAACGGTCGATGGGGTAAGTCGGCTTCGGGGCAGATGAGGCAAGTTCCTCGTGCCCGTTGAAGTTCTCTGCCATCGGGTAGTAGTAGTGAATCTTTGTCGAGGACTCCTGCTCGTATTGTGTTATTTAATACTGTGTTGCTTGGATGTCCTGTGCGTGCGTGCCAGATGTCTTCAGGAGCGCGATGTCCGGGTGAGCGTTGATACGCGTCGGAGTTGGAGTAGAAGCTGGCGACGACATTGGCGCTTCTGTGGACTTCTCGTTGAGTCGGGTTCAGTTGCTGTGCGGGTGTTGGTGGTGCTTCGTGGACGATGACTGGTGTCATTGGTCCTGCTGCTGACGATGATGTTTCTGGTGCTGTCGATGTTGTCTCAGCTGCTGCCGATGTTGTCTCTGCTGCTACCGATGTTGTCTCTGCTGCTGCCGATGTTGTCTCTTCTGCTGTCGATGTTGTCTCTGCTACTGCTGTTTGTTGAATTGTTGCTAACGCTCGTGTTCGTTCTGCTTCAGGGATGGTGTGCGAGTACCAGAAACCTCCCGGGCTGAAGTCGGGATCGAGATCCGGGGGATGTGTCCAATCGGCGAAGTTGACGATGGCGTCGCTATCCGCAGTGCCAAGGTCGGGGACGAAATCGAGGACGAAGACATTGTTCTTCAAAATTGCTCTTCCGATGTAGAGGCCACCCTTCCCGTGGTACAGTTTAAACTCCTGGGTGGAGCTGTCGGCTTCCAAGTGGATGCCTTTCGCCATCAGCTGGCTGACACTCAGTAATTTATAACCGAGTCTTTCTGCGATGAGTACCTTTGACATGTGCAGTATGACGTTTGTCTCTCTTGATTGAAGCTGAACTACTCCTTGTCGTCGTGTGCGCAGGTTCTGGTTGTTGGCGACCGTGATGACTACTTCTCGCTGGAGTTGATGTTCGCGTTGAACGAAGCGTCCCGAGGAGCACATATGTTGTCCGCAGCAACTGTCCAGGAACCAGGTGTCTTGCCCGGACGGTTCGCTTTGAGCGATGGCGGCGTACGTCAGATTCGGTTGGAGTGACTCGCGGCGAGGCAACCTGTTGTCGAGCTCTTCTTCCGGTGAGTAGTGAGGTGGTGACTCGATGATACAGGAATCTGTTATCTTTGCCATACAGTTGACAATGTTTCTTGCTCCTTGTGCAGGTTGTCCTGTTGGAGTCGTTGAGGCTTGAATCTTTGTCGTGGGATTTACTTGCGTTGAAGTGACTTGGGAGCTTGAAGGCCGAAGTTGTCGCTGTGATGTTGTCGATTGCTGACGATGCGGGCAAGGCGTACGAGGATGCCCTGAAGTCTTGCAGATGTGGCAAAACGGAGGTACTGGCTTCAATTGTTGTTGCTGCCGATTGTTGTTGTTGTTGTAGCGTCGCTGGGGATGAAACGCGAACTCTGGTACTGACGTTTTCTTCTTATGTCGTTCTTCTTGCAGGTCCATGTCCTGCTGCTCGGCATGTATTTCGGCGCAGTGTGCCGCTTCGGAAATCCTCCCGTGTGCTCGTAATATGGCGCGAGTGGAGCGCGAGTGGAGCGCCAGTGGGGGCCGAGACCGCCGATGACCACCGTGACAAAGGCGTCTTCTGAAATCGACCCCCCGCATCGAAGAAGCTTGTCGCGCAGTTCGCGGCAGCGGCTGATATAAGCCATGCCTTTCTCGCCTGTTTCATTTCAATTGTTGTCAACTGCGCCATTAACCTGCTTTGATTTACACTGTCTGTTGCTTGATACAGGTTCTTCAGGTGGTTGTACGCGAGCTCCGCGGAGTTGCCGTAGCCTCGGTAAGTCCTGATGTTCTGCTGCTGGGTCGGGGTGATGTTTCTTAGCAGTATCGTGTACGCCATCATTGATTGATAGGTGTACTGCTGCTTCTCATATTGTGTCCCGTTTGTTGGATATGGCAGGGACCCGTCGAAGAAGCCGAGAATCTGTGCTCCTTCCATCATCAGTTCGAACTCGAACGACCAGGTGAAGAAGTCTTTTCCGTCGAAGGGCTTTGTCGTTTGCAGCTTGAGAACATGCGCAAATTGCGATTGAACTTGCAATGCATCCAATGCCCTTTCTTGTCCCGGTGCAGATTGCGGTTGCGGCATGAAGCTGACGGAGCCACGCTGGGGCTCGTACGGCGCAAAGGTAGGCTTCTGTTGTTGTTGTTGAATTCCGCGTGCGTAGGATGAGCCGTCGAGACTCATAGGAGTTACGTTGTTGTTGTTGCTGTTGTTTGACTGCGCAGGTACTCCTTGCTGGTGCTGCTCGTAGAAGGACATGAAGGAGAAGAATTTCTCCATCATGCTTGGATCGAAGCCTGCGTGCGTTTCCGTAGACCGAGCTGCTGGTCTCGTGGTAGTCCCTTCTTCCGTCTGTAGACCAGAGACAGGAGGTGGAGTAGGGGTAGTGCCTGGAGAACCGTTGGAGGAGCTCCTCTCCTTCCTAGTAGACATGTCTTCCTTGTATTAAGTATTAAGAGAAAAAAGTAACTTTGAACTCTATCTGCTTGAGAAGAAGTGAACGAGAGAATGAGTGAACTATGAATGAAGTGAGTACAAATAGAAAACCCTAGTTGTGTTGTACCCCCTATGGGATACCCCACTATAGCCTACACAAATAAGTAAGCTATAATATTCTGACACACCCCCATAGGCAAAGTGGGGGAGAACAAGAGGTCACAAGACCAGTCAAGCAAAGCAAAGCAAAGCTCAGGGTGGATCACAAAGTCACCACACATTCCGAGCACAAGTTCAAGGGCCACAAGGCCAGTTCACATGCAAGATCATATATAGAGATATACAAGAGTCAAGCAAGCAAGAACAAGAGTATATATAGGTCAAGGTACAAGCAAGGTCAAGAAGTGAGCAAGTGAGGCAAGACAGGCACAAGACCCAGCTGCGTGCAGCAACGCTGATGATCACAAGGCGCAAGTGCCTTGGTGAAGACATCAGCAGTGTTGGCCTCAGAGGCCACGTACGCAAGCCGCAACTGTCCACGCTGTTGTAGCTCACGAGCAAGAAAGTAGCGGAGAGCAATGTGTTTTGTCCTGTGCTCCACTCGCTGCTCTCGACACAAGGCCAGCATGGCCTTGTTGTCTACGTACAGGACTGGAGGAGAACGAGGCGGCTCTCCAAGGTCGGTCAGCAGGTAGGTGAGCCAGCGAAGCTCCTGAGCAGCCATAGCCCCGGCGTAGATCTCAGCCTCACAACTGGAGCCGAGAACAGAAGACGAGCGGGTGGCCCGCCACGAAACAGAGCCGGAACCAAGGCTGAAGGTGTAACCCTGTGACGACCGCTGCGTAGCCTGGTCGTCAGCCCAAGAAGCGTCCGCGTGCCCAGTGAGGACCACTGGACTCCGCCCTCCAAGCACTAGCCCCATGCCCGACGTACTGCACAAGTAGCGCAACACCCTCCTCGCTACAGCCATGTGCTCTGGTCGGTGTCTCCCAGGAGCAACATAGCGTGCGAGAATGCTAAGAGGGTATGCAAGGTCAGGTCGTGTGCACGTCATCAGGTACATGAGGCAGCCAACAAGCTCTGCAAACGGACCACTTGACTCTACGGACTCATCCGAAGGCAGAGCTGAGAGCGAGTGGCGAGTAGGCAGAGGAGTGGCCTGAGGCGAGGAGTACGTGAAGCCGAAGCGCTGAAGGACCTGCTGCACCATGTGTGACTGAGTCAGGGTAATGGTGCGGCGTGCTCTGTCCCGGGTGATCTGCAAGCCAAGGTAGCTGCGCAGTTCACCCAGGTCAGTGCACGTGTGTCTCTTCTGCAGCTCGGACTTCACGTAGGCGAGTCCAGCAGTGTCAGCTGTGGCAAAGACCAAGTCGTCGACGTACACGAGGATGTAGAACGGCGGCAGAGAGGTGTCGGTGCGCAGAAACAGCGACGGGTCGGCAGTAGAAGGAGCAAACCCAAGTGCCGCCAGCGTAGTCCTCAGTGTGTCGTGCCACTCACGTGGCGCCTGGCGGAGACCGTAGACTGGACGCCGGAGACTCCACTGGGTACCAGGAGGGAAAGACCCAGTGAAGCCAGGTGGGCGACGCAGCCAGATCTCCTCGTGCAGGCTGCCCTGCAAGAAAGCAGTGTTGAAGTCGAGAGAGTGCAGCTCGTAGTCACGGTGAGCAGCAACGTGCAGCAGTACCCGAAGAGTGGTCATCTTCGGGGTGGGAGAGAAGGTCTGAAAGTAGTCAACTCCCTGCCGCTGACTAAAGCCACGAGCCACGTAACGCGCCTTGAAGACAGGCGGAGAACCCGGCGGCCGCTTCACCCTGAAAATCCACATGCCACTGACTATGTTCGCCCCAGGAGGGGGAACAGCGTCAACGTAGGTGCCTGTGGACTTCCAGGAAGCCATCTCTGCATCCATAGCTGCCTGCCACTAAGAGGAGTAGGGACCCTCTATCGCCTCCGCGTAAGAGCGCGGAGTCGGGATGTCTAGTGCATCCGGGTCTCCCTCAGGGGCGAGCAGTACAGACGCGAGATGAGGTGAAGCGGCGGCCAGGCATTGGAACTCCTCCTGCCTGTCCTCCAGGACGTCCGTGCCAAGGGCACACTCACCCCCGACGGACGGAGGACAGGCAGACTCAGACTCAGCGACAAGACTAGCAGCGTAGTCTAGACGACAGCGCGCAGCAAAGTCGACGAGCTCAGTGACAAGGGCAGACGCAGCAGAAGACTCGAAAGAAGGGTCAGTGACAGCAGTAGCAAGGAGACGCGTGACAGTAGGACTGGCAGCACGAAGAGAGTCCGACTCCGGGTCGGCAAGAGCAGGAAGAGAGGAAGAAGGAGGAGAAGGCAAAGGGGCACGCAGAGGAGTAGTGGACGGACGTAGAGACATCCGGTGTGTGCCAGGGACAGGAGGAGGACGGTGACGCGAAGCGCGACCACTAGTGCGTGCAGGACGAACAGGCGACGCAGGACGAGACGCAGGCTCACGACGCTCAGTAAGACCTCCAGTCGGACCAGCGTAGGGAGAAGGAGCAGGCAAAGGGGAGGCAGGTTGTAGCTGTGACTGGGACTGGACAGGCTGTGGACCCTCTAAGGGAGGAGGAGGAGGACCAGGAGAAGGTGTAAGACCAAGAACCTGCTGCAGGAGCGGAACGAAGTACGGTCGAGGCCGCGTGGCGACGCCAAAAACAGCAGGGACAGCACCAGTACCCCCAGCAGGAGTACCCGCTCCAGCAGCACCTCCAGTAGCACCTCCAGTGGCTCCAGAACCCCCAGCAGCACCAGGAGCACTGCCAGTCGGACCGCCAGCAGTAGTCTCAGCTCCAACACCCTCAGCAGCACCAGCTCCAGGAGAACCCTCAGGCCCAGCAGCTCCAGTACTCCCAGTACGAGCACCTCCGGGACCCGCGACAGCAGCACCCTCTGCAGCCAAAGAACCTCCAGCACCAGCAGCACGCCTCCAGCGCCGGGAAAACCACTCACGCAGCTCCTGTGGGGAGAGTGGCTCTCGGCGAGACGAAGCACCTCCAGGCGGAGAACCCCCAGTCGAAGAACCTCCAGGCTCAGCACCCTCAAGCAAAGCACCTCCAGGCGGAGCACCCCCAGTCTCAGCACCCCCAGGCTCAGCACCCCCAGGCCCAGCACCCCCAGGCTTAGCACCCCCAGACTCAGTACCCCCAGGCTCAGCACCCCCAGGCTCAGCACCCCCAGTCTCCGCACCCCCAGGCTCAGCACCCCCAGGCGTAGCACCTCCAGTCCCAGCACCCCCAGGCTCAGCTCCCGCAGCAGCACCAGAGTCACCAGTGACCTCGACAGGCTCGACCGCGTCTACCTGCGACACACCTGAAGGGGCAGGACCCTGAGGGGGGAGGGGGTCTACCGGGGGGGGACCTGGTACCAAAAAGAGCGGGGGCGGGGGGAGGGACGGAGTGCGGTAGGGGAAGAGGCGGTAGTAGGGTACCGACTCGTCGAACGTGACGTCCTGGGAGGACAGAACACGTTGAGAGGTGGGGTGGTAGAACTGCCACCCAGGGGCGTCGGGGGGGAACCCCAGGAAGACGCAGGGAGCAGCGCGAGGGGACAGCTTGTCCGCAGACAAGTCGCGGACAAACGCCCGAGATCCCCAGACCCGGAACGCCGACGCATCGCCAACCTTCTCCGTCCACAGCAGGGCTGGGGAGGTCTCCGGCCTGGAGACCCTGGGGTGGAGGTTGATCTGATGCGCCACGTACCTGACCGCAAACGGCCACAGAAAATGGGGGGCTGCCGCATGCATCATAGACGTACGAGCGACGTCCATGACCATGCCAATGCGGCGCTCTGCAATCCCATTTTGCTGCGGTGAGTCCGGAAGCGTGAAGGTCTGGCGGATGCCTCGCGCACGACAGAAGGCACGCAGAAGGCCAGAGGAGAACTCTCCGCCTCTGTCCGAGTGCAGACGCAACACAGAAAAGTCCGAGCCAAAGCTCTGCCTGAGCTGGAGACGAGCTGCGCGGATCCAGTCGATCAGCACCTCAGTGACATCACCCTTGCTGCGCAAGGGGAAGACTGCGGTGTGACCACCAACAACAGGAAGTAGCGCTCGTGACCGAGTCCACGGACGCGGGCAGGGCCCCACACGTCCATGTGAAGCGTCTGCAACGGAGCCTCTGTCGGAGGAAACTGGGAGGAGTGAGGGGCAGCATGCTGGCGCCCCTCGACACAGGGGACACAGGCAAGGCCACGGCCCTGAGGAAGGGGAGGGAGGGACCGGGGGAGACCAGACACAAGAAGACGGGAGGCCATGCCTCTGAGCCGAAGCAGAGAGGGGTGGCTAAGGCGGTGGTGCCAGAGGAGAGTCTCGTGAGACAGACGGCGACACGAACAGGGGGCAGACTCAGGACCAGACCTGGACGCTGCAGCAAACACCTGACCAGACGAAGGGACTCTACCAGACTCAGCACCGGGAGGAGAAGCAGTGGTCAGTGTGTACAGGCTCGACCCTGGCTGACGTGTAAACGTAGCTAGGTGGCGACCTGTGCTAGCCTCTGTGCAGTGTGTCATCCGCTGACGAGCAGGAGTGAACTGGTGGACACCCACATCCTGTAGGTCAGCACCACTCACCAGGTTCGTAGAGAACGAGGGGAGTTAGAGACCAGTCAGGGTGCCAGAGGGAGCCGCCGGACACGGGAGGATTGTGGAGAAACGAGACAAGACAGGACCCCCAGAGGGGTCAGCCAGGGACACCGCAACCGGCCGACTAAGCGGCGTGAGAGTGGTGCAGTCCCGAAAGAAGGAGCGAGACGCCCCAGAGTCAAGGGTGAAGGTGTGAGAGGCCGAAGCCGATACAGTACCTGAGAGTGCAGACTCACTAGTACCTGAGAGCACAGACGCACTGGCACCTAGAGCAGCAGCCTGACTGGCACCTGACGCAGCAGTACCAATGCCCGGGTCGGGCGGGAAACACTGGTAACAGTCACCCTCATCACTAACAGTCACAGCATACATGGCAGCAAGGATAGCATCAAAGTCAAGATCAAAGATAGCTACACCAGCACTAGACAGCTCTCCCCAGCGGGGAATCTCAGAGGCCTCTGGAAACTTCTGGCGCCAAGCGTCGGTCAAGCGGGCAAAGCAGCGGCGGGCGGTGTGGGTGCCCCCACACTGCTCACCCGCGCGGTCGCCGGTGCGAAGGACGTAGGTGCAGGGACCGAACGCCCCACCACGCTGACGCTGCGAGTACCACTCACGGAGCTGCTGAGGGGTGGGGACGTCGCGAGAGCGCTGCTGCTGCTGCTGCTGCTACTGCTTGCGCTGACCACCCCCAGTGCCGCTCCGCTGGGACGAGCCACTCCGACCACCTCCACCACCGCCACCCCCGCCTCCGCCGCCACCGCCGCCACCGCCACCCTCGCCCCCGCCGCTCCCACCGCCACCTCCGCCACCACCTCCGCCGCCGCCTCCGCCTCCACTGCCGCCACCAGTACCTCCACTCTTGCCACCACCTCCACCGCCACCCCCACTCCCCCCGCCGCCTCCACCTCCTCCGCCACCGCCCCCGCTAGCTCCACCCGCTCCCTTGCTCCCCTTGCCCCTGCCAGAGTGGCGCCTACCGCTGGGGGCAGACGCCGCACCGACCGACTCCAAACCAACGAGGTCGGCCGCAGCAACAGAGGCGATAGAGGGTAACAGGGGGGAGGGAGAACACCCCTCAAAGATGGGGGTGCGAGGGTCACCACGAGAGGCCCCTACAGCGACTATACTCTTCTCAGCCGCTAGCAGGGACTTCTCAAGGAGGTCGACGGTGAGGGTGGTGGGACAGACAGAGAGAAACTGGTCCCTAACGGCACGAAGGGACTCAGGGAGACGGGTGACTAGAAAGTAGAGAGTGATGTACATGGGAGGAGGGTTTGCGGCGCGGAAGTCAGCAGGAAGCGCAGCGCGGTAGCGAGTGTCACTAGCGCGGAGGTGGGTAAAGAGGTCAGCGACTGTGGGAAAGGCAGCGAGGTCAGGGAAGAGGTACGGTAGCATGAGGCGGCTCAGCGTAGCGGAGGAAGGGGAGGAGTAGCGCGCAACTACAGCGTCGTACAAGGCCTGAGCGGTCTTGCACTGACTAAAGTGCGCACGCTCGGAGGAAGGGAGGTGGCGACGCACAGCAAGACGTGCAGCAGCATCGCGTGTGGCCCACTTGGAGCGAACAGTGGGGTCAGCATCAGAAGGAGGGGCAGGGACAGCGCCAGAGACAAAGTCAAAGAGAGAAACCTCATCTATCGCATCGCACAGTAAGTACAGCTGCAGGTCCTCGACCCAGACTGCAAAGTCAATGGCGCGACCCTCAGCATCAAAAGCCAGGACACTGGGGGTGGCCATTATAGCAGCTGACAGTCTCACCGAGCAGGAAGAGTCGGGTAGCTCAGTAGTACAGCAACACGGCAGCACAGCGGCTGCGCCGGTCCAGGAGCAGCAGCAGCCCCACAAGAGCAGGAGCTCGGCACCTCAGGTTGCTCGGGCGGCTCGGGCGGCTCGGGCGGTCCGGGCGGCTCGGGCGGCTCGGGCAGCTCGGGCGGCTCGGGCGGCTCGGGCGGCTCAGGCGTCTCGCGGGCGGCGCACGGGTGACTGCACGAGCGGCCGGGGCTGGTCACGGGCGGCGCGCGGGCGGCTCACGGGCGGCTGGGGCGGCTCACGGGCGGCTGCACGGGCGGCTGGGGCGGCTCGCAGGCTGCTCGCGGGCGGCTCGCGGGCTGCTCGCGGGCGGCTCGCGGGCTGTGCACGGGCGGCGCGGGCGGCGCACGGGCGGGTGGGTGGCTCGCGGACGGGCGGCTCACGGGCGGGCGGCGCACCGGCGGGCGGCTCACGGACGGGCGGCGCACGGGCGGCGCTAGCGGCTCACGGGCGGGCTGGTGGCGCACGGGCGGGCGGCTCACGGGCGGCGCCGGCTCACGGTCGGGCGGCGCGCGGGTGGGCGGCTCACGGGCGGCGGCTCACGGGCGGCGGCTTCGCAGACGGCGGCGCACGGGCGGCGTCTGACGGGCGGCTGCTTACGGGCGGCGGCTGACGGGCGGCGCTCACGGGCGGCGGCTAACGGGCGGCGCTCACGGGCGGCGCTCACGGGCGGCGGCTCAAGGGCGGAGGCTCACGGGCGGCGGCTCACGGGCAGGCCGCGGTCTGCTCACGGGCGCTAGGGCGGGCGCCGGGCGCTAGGGCGCTAGGGCTGGCGCTAGGGCGGGCGCTAGGGCGGGCGCTAGGGCGGGCGCTAGGGCGGGCGCTAGGGCGCTAGGGCGGGCGCAAGTGTGGGCGCTAGGGCGCTAGGGCGCTAGGGCACGAAAAAAAGTTTTCGAAGTGGTGGGCCCTAAGCAAAGTTCCCACAGGGGAACCTGCTCGATACCATGAGAAGAAGTGAACGAGAGAATGAGTGAACTATGAATTAAGTGAGTACAAATAGAAAACCCTAGTTGTGTTGTACCCCCTATGGGATACCCCACTATAGCCTACACAAATAAGTAAGCTATAATATTCTGACACTGCTCTCATACCATGTTGGGTTGAGATGCCCTAGGATCTTTGTAGAGTTAAAGTCTGAGTAGGATTGTAATAGCGGAAGCGTTTGAATAAAGTCCTTGAACCACCTTGCGCTAGTATGTGAGGGCAAAGTAAGTTGATTAAAACAAGCAAATACAAGGATTTATATAAGAGTACAAGGAATACGAATATATATAATTAAACTGTTTTGCTGTTGCGATTCGATACAGTGCGACTCGGGCAACTGCTCAATGTCGAGTCAGTTGTGTGTCCTTGCTGTCGCGCTGTATTTTGTCAAGTCAAAGGTCGCTGACTTTTGACCTTCGCGTAACCTCTAGGCGGTTACCCTAACCTCCGAGGGTTGACTCGCGATGTTTCGATTTGGACTGCTTCGCTTGTGTCCTGAGTTTCGACACGACAGAGGCGCTTTAAGACTTATTGTTCCCAACAAGAGTAAACCGCCTTGCTAATGCCACTAGCTTGTTGGATAGGGTACATTGTGAAAGCTTGCTTAGTCCATCTTGCAAAGGCAGCGTGCTTCATTCCAAGTGGGTAATACAACGTTCTCGTTCATAAATGATACACAATGGGGTGGGTGGTGGGAAAGTAAACTAGAAAAGTTGGAAATGAAGAACGTGGGTGAAGGCGACTGAACCCACGTCCCTCTTTTGTAGGCAAAAGAGGGGTGAGTAGCGTCGAGCCGCTACCTTTGCTTTGCTGGCCACGTCCTCGCTTTCACAATACGAAATTTGAAAAAGTGTTACACTTTTAAAAATTATAATATTGTGAAAGCTTGCTTAGTCCATCTTGCAAAGGCAGCGTGCTTCATTCCAAGTGGGTCTTCTGAGGCAAGTGCATTTTGGGTCGGCGGTGCCTCTCCAACGATTGCTGGTGCCGACCAGGCGACGGGGCTGCAGAGGTGTCCTGCAGCCGGGTGGAGAGGTCGATGAGTTGGTCTTGGGCGATGGTGACGTAGAGATCCTTCGCGCCGTCGCTGCGCCATCGCCCCATTCGTTTGAAGAGCCGGTCAGGGATGCCTAACGCCGCTGCTGCCGTTGCCGCGCCCTTGCGGAATGAGTGTGTCCCGATGTGTGTGGCGTCGAGCCCTGCCTTCTTGCACGCCTCGAGGCACCAGCTCCGAATGGTTGGGTATGAAGGCGATTTGTCGTGCGGCGAGGCCTGTGCCCTTTTGTTGAAAACCCGAATCAGTGGCCCGTGAGGCATGTTTGCAAGGCCTGCGATGCGAATGAACTCCCGTGTGCATCTCACTGCGCAGTAGGGCCCTGCTGACGCTGCGACCGGGATCCACGTGCCCTTGCCTTCTTGGTCCGTCTTAGAGTAGGGAATCAGTAGCCACATTGCCTCCCCTTCGAACTGAATGTCGTTTCATTGGAGGGAGATCAGGTCGGAGTAGCGCAGGAATGCCGCGAGCATCAAGAGAGGTATCAAGCCTTTCTGATATTCCGCCGGCACTGTTGATTCCAGGAATGGTCGTGCCATGTTGTGCACTTGATGTAGTGACACGGGTTCCTTGGTCCTTGTTGGGCGTAGGCCATGTCGCTTAGCGAACTCTCGTACTTGCAGCGTGAACGGGCCGTTCGTTGGGGATGCCTCTCCGGTCATTCGATGGGCGAAGGCTACGGCAGAGCATGTGAGGTTGATCGCTGACGTTGTTGCCTTGTTGTTCAACGCATGGACTAGGTAGAGTGCCAGCGTGAGGTCCGTCGCTGGCAGAAAAGCTAGCTTGACTCGGGTGCAAAAGTTGCGAAATTTGAGCCAGTAAGGCTGGTATGTCTCGATCGTAGACGGTGCGCGAACATCATTTATAACTTGTAACAGTTGGTTTTGAAGCTGGGTCAATAATCCTGAAAGAATTAACACTCGAATATTAGTCACGTATGATATTTTACATGCAAGGCAATTATTGGGCTATGGGGTAGGCCTAGTCCGGAAAATGCTGTTGCATGCGAACCAGGTCGAAGGCACTGGCTGCCTTGAGCGAGTGGCAAGCATGCGATCACTTCTGGGGCCCATGTCTCTGGGGAAGGTTGTAGCAACGGCCACCATGCTGCTCCCGGCCACTTGGGGACGACGAGTGTCAACTCGGCTTGTGTGCGCCTGGCGTGAGAGAGTGTGGCTGGGATCAAGCCGGGGGGCGGAAAGGTGAAGCACCGCTCGCCTTTCCACGAGATCGAGAACGCGTCAATTGCTGTGGCACTTGGGTGCGGTATCTTGGAGCAGAATCGTTGCAGCCTCCTGTTGCTAATGTTCGCGAAAAGGTCGATCGTATGGGGGCCCCATCGACGTTCCAGTAGGCGAAACCATGGCATGTGCAGCGAGTAGTCGTCATGGTCTTGGAGTTTTGACAGTTCGTCCGCGTGGGCGTTGAGCTCCCTTGGGATCCATTCGATTGCCAGACGTGTATGGTTCTTGAGGCAAAACTGTATGACTGCTTGACAAGTCAGTGTGAGCCGAGGTTGACTGGACCCCCCTTTGCGCAAGATAAACATGACTCCTTGGTTGTCCACGCGAACCAAAACGTGGCCGCCTGTGAGATGGGACGCAAATGTCTGTAGCGCCCAGAGGACACCCTCGAGCTCCCTTTGAGTGCTTGAGGTTGGGAGGAGCTCGCTCGGCATGCTGGCGCTTGCTTCGTACGACGCGTCGGTAAACTTGGTGAGGGTGGCGCCCCAGCTGTGAGCGCTCGCGTCGACGTGGATCACAACATCGAATTGATGGCTTAGGTGAAATGGGGCACCGTTAAACTGGTCGAAGTGCAGTTGCCAGAAGATTAGCTCCTCGATGGCGGCCCGTGTCAGCCCGATCCTTGAGTTCCAGGATGCCGCTGTCTCGATCAATTGTAGCAGCTCGTGGCTGAAGGCGCGTGGTGTTGTGCCCAATGCGAGGGACATAGAGCTCAACATTCCGGTGATACGAGCGACTTCCCGAATTAGGACTTGCTGGCCGCGTTGCCCCTTGGAGATGAGTGTGTGCAGCTTGTCGAGGAACTGCGCTCGCCGATCGGAGCCGATGCTAAACATGCCGCATGTCGTGTCCAGCTCCATCCCCAGAAATCGTGTTTGATGGGCCGGCTGGAGGCGTGATTTCTTTTCGTTGATCACGAAACCTGCCGCCCCCAGGTCTCGGAGAACCTCTGTGCATGTCTTGCGTGCGTGCTCCGCCGAGTCGCAGAGGAATAGCAGGTCGTCCACATATGGGACTACGCGCACGCCCCGCGCCCGCCAGCGTTTGGCCAATTGCTTGATCAACTGGGTGAAGACGAAAGGTGCTGTCGCCAGTCCAAACGGCAAGGCTCGGAAGCAGTAGAACTCGCCTTCGAATTGGAAGCCTAGGAACTTCCAGCACGAAGGGTGCATCTCGACATGGTGGTAGCCCGATTTTAGGTCAATGGTGAACAGCCAGTCGTTGCGTCGAATGATCTCCGAAACGCGATTCAGGCCCTCGTATTTGAATTTAGTGACTTGGAGGTGTTGGTTGACCTTGCGTAGGTCGAGGATGAGGCGACATTTGTCGCGTTGTTCTACCACGTTGAGTGGGCTCACGCACGAGAGCGCAGTCCGCGAGGCGACCTTGGTTGCCGCGCCCGATGTGATTAAGTCGCGAATGGCCTCACGAGTGAACGTGGTGTGTGCATGAACACCCGCGTGGTTTGTGGTTTCGAAGGGTGGCGGTTCTGTAGTTTTCCAAGGCAGCCAATATCCCCTGGCAATAATAGAGATGATAAAACTGCTGTCGCACCACGATATCCACCAATGCAGTTGGTTACGCAATCGGTTGCGCATGACCTTCACTGTGTCATCTGTGACCGCGTTCTCGTATGGGTCCCATTC